AAACCCTTACTTTTCGCTCTTCAGACATTATGAAAAAATGCTTGAGAATTTAACAAGAAGAAAAAATTGAACGGGAGTTAGAAATATTTTTGAATGGATTTTTGTAAAATTCTAACGCCTTTAAATAAGGCAATGCCTAGCTCGAGGGGCTGAATTTTTTTTTTTAGGTATAACACTCTTTTAAAGGGCGCTATACCCATTTGAATTATTGTGATGTCAGTTAAATGCAGGAGACTTATTGGTGGGCCCACAACACAGGTATATCGCTCTATAAAAAGCGCTATACATCCATAAAATGAGATTCTTAAAGGCGTTACATGTATAGCGCTCTTTTAAAGAGCGCTATACGTTAACGTCCGTTAATGTATATCGCTCTTTAAAAGAGTGTTATACATAGAAAAATCACTCTTTTATTTACACTTATTTTCGTTCTACTTGGCAAAAAGAACCACAATTAGGTTCTGGACTCTAGGATAAACTACCGGGATAAAAGTGCAGATATTAAACTTCAAAAAAAAAAGTGAAAAGAGAAATGATTAGTTGGCAAATAGTCAGTGAAAAATAGCTAGTGTTTGCAAAGTCATTGAAAAATAGCACTATTTTGCTGTAACACGGAAAGTTTCAGCATAATATACTGGAGATTGGTGCACCTGTGTATGAACTTCCAGCATATTATGCTGGAACTCCAGCACACGGAAAGTTCCAGCAAAATATACTGGAGATTGGAGCACCTGTGTATGAACTTCCAGTATATTATACTCGAACTCCAATATATTATCCTGCAACTCTAGTATATTATGTTGGAAGTTCACATGTAAAAAATTCGAATTCCAGTATATTCTGTTGGAATATTTTCTAGATTTTGAACAGTTTTTTCGTTCACATTTATCTTTACATGAAAAATGGCTAAATTTCGATTACTTTTGAAATTGTGGCTATTTTTCAATTACCACTTGTAAATCTGGCTATTTTTGAATTTCACCATTTCTTGTGAATAGGAAATTCAAAAATAGCCAGATTTACAAGTGATAATTGAAAAATAGCCACAGTTTCAAAAGTAATCGAAATTTAGCCACTTTTCATATAGAGATAAATCTGAACGAAAACACTGTTCAAAATCCGAAAAAAATTCAAGCATAATATACTGGAGTTCGAATTTTTTACGTGTGAACTTCCAGCATAATTTTAGTATATTATACTGGAACTCCAGTATATTATGATGGAGTTATATTGGAACTCCATCATAATATACTGGAGTTCCAGCATAATATACTGGTCCAGCATAATATGCTGGAAGTTGATACACATGTGCTCCAATCTCCAGTATATTATGCTAAAACTTTTCGTGTGCTGGAGTTCCAGCATAATATGCTGGAAGTTCATACACAGGTGCACCAATCTCCAGTATATTATGCTGGAACTTTCCGTGTTGCAGCAAAATAGTGACTATTTTTTAATGACTTTGCAAACGCTGACTATTTTTCAATTACCAGTCCGAAAACTGGCTAACTCGTGCTATTTTTTTTAACCTATTTCCCCCCTTAAATAACAGTCTTTAGCTGGGTTGGATGCATAAAGGCGGACAATTTTCTTCTCCTAAGGGCCAGTCCAGCCCGTTTGGATTATTTTCAGCTATTGTATTGTATCGTTACTTAAAATAAGGTATTTATTTCTATAATTATTTAAATTTTATTATATCGTATTATTAAATTTATCGTTATTTAATGACGAAAAGTGATACTTTATGTAACAATTGATTTGGTGCGATCGCATCGTTATATTATATATTTTTTTCATCTGTCCTTCCTTACTATTAAAAAAATCCTATTTTATCCATTAACAAACCTTCTTATATAATAATTTTATCATGTACCCTACTTTTTTTTGTAATATTTTAAATTTATTCTTTGTATTACTGGTGTGTGACATTATGAAACAACGACAAATAATACAGTCTATTCAAACGTTATAATCATTAAATAATATAGCATAGTATAACATAATCTAATACGATACATTATGCAACGATATATATTGACCATTGTCATTTCATTATTGATTAAGCTAGAGTGCAATCACTTTACGGCTGAATTAGCTAGAAATTATCACTTAATCGACTTCGAGTCGAAACATTAAAAGTTAGAGGACTCAATCAACATTTGTATAAAAAATATTCATAACATTTTTTTTACCAAACAACGTTAGAGGATTTTGAAAACAACTCTAATCAATGAAATTACAATATTAAAATAAAAGGTGCTCATAATTTCCAAATGTGGAGAGAGGTTAAACAACACAAGAGAAAAAGAGAAACCTTCACTATGGGAATTTCAATGAATAAATTGATAGGAGTTGTTGGCATCAAAATAAAAGTGAAAACCAAAGAATAATACACTAAAAGAAAAGATAAATTAGGCAGCGTACAAATACTCCTCCCCCCTCAATTTACTATACAATAACTTTGTGTCGATCAAGGGTAATATAAACTCAATCATAAGACTCTCAAATTACATCAGTTTATTATTAAATTGAAACTTACAAATTACATAAAAATACTTCAAAATGCAAACACCTCATATCAAAATAATAAAGATTATACATTTCAAACCGTCACAAAATGCGAAAAAACTATTATTTTAGGACAAAAGAGTATTTAACCGAACTTTTAGACGGCAAAAGGTGATTCAGAATTGTGATGAGATGGACAAGATCCTTTCACTCTTAATTAGAAGTCACGAGTTTGAGTATTGGAATCAGAAAAGTCTTTGTAAATTTTCTCCTTTAATAAATTTTATTAATCAAGACCCAATAGTGGGAAATCGAAAGAAAAAATGATGGCAAAGATCACTTTTAGCTCACGACCGAAACTATTTATATTCGGTAGCCGTAAAAATGTATAAAATTTGTATATTTTTTATACATACATATAAATATATATATATATATATATATATATATATATATATATATATATATATATATATATATATATATATATATATATATATATATATATATATATATATATATATATATATATATATATATATATATATATATATATATATATATATATATATATATCAGCTATTATTTTAAGAACGGCTATACGATGCCATTTTAAAAGGTGGAATTTAGGGGGATGTACGTAATTATAACAAAAGTTTGGAGCAAGTTTGAGTATTTCAAACTTCAGTCCAAGCCCGAATTGCTGACGGGCGGGCCTTTTCAGCTCCTGTATCCGGTATCCATCTAAACGTTAAACCCATAATTTTGCAGCTGCAAAACTAAAACCCTACTTTCTCCTTTTCCTCCACGCAAATAACCCACTTCACAGGTAAATTTCTTATTTTTGGTAATTCATGTTTATGTCTATCTAGGTTATAGTTATGTTTTATTATAGTTTGATTGTGTTTGTGTGTGCTTAAGATTGACCCAAGTATCTGATGCTGCAGCTTAAGCTGTGTAAACAACAAGTTTGAAAATTATGGCGGAAGAATTGCAGTCAGTTAGGGAAGCTGGGAAATTTTTAAGGAAAAGAAACATGGGGCACAACACGAAAGGGGGTAAGGCAAAGAAGAAGCAAAAGGGTGTACCATTTAATGAAAAAAGGGTAAAAGTAGACAAAAAAATGAAGAAGCTTTTCGAGAAGAGAGCAAGAGATTATAACTCTGATAATGAGGATGATGAGAATGAGAATGATAATGATGATATTGATGTTGATATTCGGGAGCGTGCCCCTGTAAATCGAGATAAACGCCCATCATATGGTAAAAAAGAGGATGATTTTGAAGAGGAATGGTTGGATGATGATGGAGGAGAGGATGGTAATGAGGAAATTGAAGTATCCGAAGACGAAGATGGGGAAATTCAGCCGGGGATTACTAGGTTTATAGATGGTTGTAGAGCATTCAGATTGGCATTCAAGAAGATATTGAAGAAATCAGCTTCTGATGATATATTGGTGAGCAACTTGCTTTGTCCATAAGTTTTTTGTTCATATGCCTTGTTATAATTTCATGTTTCGGAGGAAAACATAATTGGTGTACATCATGTTGTTATGCTTCTTTATTTTTCGGGCCTCAAAATAAAATAAAGAATTGGTTTGTTTTTATATTATGAGTGTTTGGATGTGGTTTTAGAGGAACTAGTTTTTTTGTGAGTGTTCGGATTTGGTCGAGGGACAAAACCGGATGTGTTTGGAAGAGGAAACAAAACAACTGTGCTGAAAATAAAACATTTTGTTTCCAGAGAAAAAGACTTTTTCTACGCCTTTTAATACAAACATTCAATTAGTAGAAAATAACTCTATCGGAAACAGGCTCTCTACTCCTCCGGAGTAGGAGTAGGGGTAAGGTCTGCGTACACACTACCCTCAAGTGGGAGTGTGGGATTTCACTGGGCTGTTGTTGTTGTTGATTACTAGAAAATTAGCCGGATGCTGATGAACTCATAGGTTAAAACTTAAAAAGCATTTGAAGCTCATACTACCTGAGGATAGGAATTGCTTGGAGAAACTAATGGTAAATAACCTGCAGGGCCCCGTCTTATCAGCACACAAGAAGCTTGTTGCTGAGAAGCTTGCTGAAGAAGAAGTAGAACGAAAGGTTAAGGGGGAAGCAAAAAAGGAGAAACACTTGGTATATATATCTAGTTTCGTTTAATTGTTAAGTTTTTTGAATAACTTAATCTCCCATGTTCAATGTATTAATGGTCGTATTCTTAACTTTGATATCTGTGCAAAAGATAGGAGAAAAGGGACATGTGAAACCTGCAAATTATTTGGATTCCCATGAAAAGTTTCTAATAGGAGTTGCAACAAAGGGAGGTACTCAACTTTATCCTTTTGTTTTGGAATTTATAATAGAATTACAAATGCATTATAGTAAGCTTTCTATCAGACCTTCTAATTTACTTGGTTCTTTATTTATTTTATGGGCATCGTGGGAATATCAGTGGTCAAGTTATTCAATGCTGTAAGTTGCAGTACACATTTCGAAGTTGATACTTCTGTTTTATAAAAAGTTTTGTGCTACTTTCAGCTAGCTCAAATTTATCTGCGTATGTGATACAGGTTAACAAAGCACAACATGCTCAAAAAGGCTTAAATCCCTCAAGGTCAAAAGATGAGAAAGGTAAGGATAGAATACTGAGGCATTGACGATATGATTGGTTCTTTAATTTTTTGGGTGGTTGCTATTGTTCCTCTGCTGTTAATTCTATTACAATTTACAAGGTAAGAGGAAGGGAAATGTTATTCAGACGGATTTGATTTGTCTTTGTGTGCTTTGATCTCTAATCATCCTCTCAATCTTCCTCTATTAGAGAAGTTTAAAATTTTCCTTGCTAGGTCGGTTAGTTGTATTTTCATCAACCATGTTTGACCTAAGGATAATCCCCAAGGCTATGAATGGCGTTTTCTTCTTCCAATCGCAGAATCCTGCATGTTGGACTGGTAATCTGATCTTAGTGCAAAACTTGGAGATTCTATTGGAAAAATTATAGTATGGTATTCAGTGTTCGATATCAAATTCCTTCTGTCGGTGCTCATGCTGCTCTTGAATAGGATCTTTCAAATTCTCGTTTCCAAGTGAAATAACTTGCATTGTGAGATCATAAGGGGTTGTTCTGTTGCTTTCGCTGAGTTACACTAAGTCCCAGATTCCCTATATAGGTGCAATCAAAGAAGTCTATAAATGTCTTGGGTCACTCCACCTATTACGTTAAGGTTTAGGTTGGATATATTCTTTCACCGGGTATCCGAACTGATTTTTGACAAGCCCAGTCTCACACTCATAAGTCTACATCTGAATCCTATAATCAGATTACACGTGCCGGACTGTGTTGAGTTATATAAATGAACAATAGCAATCAACTTGTTTTTGGTTTTCACGCAGTTGAAGAGTGTTTATAGTACTTTGTGAAAAGGTGTTTAAACTACAGAGCAGATAGGAAAAGAACAAATACTAGCTTAGTGAAATTAAATTTTCCTTCACTATCTGGCCATGATAATAAAGATTGAATGGTGAAATTTGTACCTCGCATTTATTCAATTTTTTTTTGTTTTTCACATGCACTAATGAAACATAACCATCAAGAATATTATCTCTTTTTCGTGCAATAAGGAATATAGCCGGCTACAGATTCTCATTTGTACTTTAAAACTATGGGAAAAACATAGTATCGATGGTACTCTGCACATCCTGTTTTACTGTTTACATGATAGAAGTAAGAAGCTTGTAATGGAATAACTGCCTTATTTTTCTTTTGATTGATAAGGTAAATGTTTTTTTTCCTGATAAGGTAAATACTTTTGTTAATGATGGGGAACTGCCATTTATATCTTTATAATTGCTATTGGTAAATAATTCTTGATAATTCAATTTGGAAAAGATTAACCTTAAGAACTTTATTTTGCATCCAGTACAATAACTTCTTTTTTCTGATGTGTAGTAATAAAGAAGCGCCGAAGAGAAGTCTTTTTCTCCGAATTGGGCAAGACACCATCACAAACAGCTGCTGCTGGGTCAAAGGTCAACCCTCTCTCTCTCTCTCTCTCAGCTAAGCATTATGATCATTTGGGAAAATTTCTTTAATTATTTTGTAACATCTTTTCATTTAGTATCTCGTCTTGGGCTACTGCTTTTTTTTTTGGAGTCGGGTGGGAAGGAGACAAGCCATGTTGGCTCATATCAGAAAAGAGAGAATTTTCATGTTGCCTCTGGTTGTTTTTTCTCTTTTTCATTTTTCCCTTGTTAAATTTGCTTCATAGTTGATGAGTTCATATATAGGAAACAACACATGGGCTAATGTGATTTGTTAGTGGTGCTTCTACAGAAACAATTATTTCATAGTAGGAAACTGAACTATTTTGCGAACGGAAGGAAGAAACAACTTGAACATGGGGAAGTTGATATTTTTCAAGTGCTTATCCAAACAAAAAATAAAATAAAAGAAAAAAGAACATTCTTATTGTGTAGCTTAATTTCATGCAGGACGGTGCATCCAATTCTTCGAATGATGAAGGTCCCTCGTGGGCTCCTCTACGTGATAATTACATGTTGACTAACCCCAAGTTAAAAGACTGGGATAAGAATGCGGTAAGGATAAATTACTAAAATTCTGCATTTACCGAGATATAACCTCAGTCTCCCTCTTTGCTAATGATCAATGTCATCTGATGTTCATGCAGGACACAACTGTTGCAGACGACGTGAGGATGCCAGCTGATGCAGATTCATCTGATGATGAATAAGTTCACTGAAAGTTTGATGTTCAACTATATCTGCTTCAAGCTTACTGGGTTGTCGAACACGGAGAATCAGGTCTCCAATGCAGGGAAGTGGATGCCTAGGGATAAGTCAAATTAATGCTGGAGCAACTTTCTTCGACTGTACAGAGATCCTCTTGTTGTTAGGCTGATGCTATTTATTTATATTAATTAAAGAGGAAGTTTTATCCTGGCTTATGCAATCCTCTTTAAGATATGACTTTTAAGATATTATTTCTGAATTCTCTTCATTTGTTATCCATTCTTTCTGCTAGTGGGGATATAACTGGTCTGTAAAATATCCCAGTATTCAACAAGGTTGATTTAGCAATGCGGAATAACGTTTTGTTGTCTTATGTTTTTCAAGATCGTGTAACCAAAGATATTGCCTTTAAAAAGCTGGGATACTACATGTTGAGCTTACATGGAAGAAGTTAGGATTTATATAGCCGATCTCAACTTGTTTGCGACTGAAGTGTAGTTATTCTACTACTGGTTCGACTAGGCCGATTTGGCACTGTGGAGTGTGGTCTGTGGACTCACTTTGCATAGCAGCATTGTCAAGAATCGTTTAACCAAATATAGTTTAGCTTTTATAAGTTGGGATACTACTGCTCTGTCAAATTTCCCTCATCTTTTGTTGGCAAAATCATTTTACCTAAACATGTTTAGCTGAAAAACTGTCCCTGACCACATTAAGAATGAACCTTGTGTATCAAAATAAAATAAACACTCTCTGGTCTTAGTCATTACTAGTCATTTTGACAAACTGCCTTTGTTTTGAGATATTTTACGTTTTAAGAAAAATTAAATCATTTATTATTTTTGGAATCTAATAAGAGAGCATGACATTTTATATCCAGACCACATTTAACCAGCTAAATTTCGTGGCAAATCCATCACAATATTCAAGAAAGAATAAGGTTGGAGATACACACTGATTATTACATAATGACCAGAAAACGGTTTCCATTATATGCACAGTGCAGCCCGGTGCACTAAGCTCCCGCTATGCGCGGGGTCCGGGGAAGGGCCGGACCACAAGGATCGATCGTACACAGCCTTACCCTGCATTTCTGCAAGAGGCTGTTTCCACGGCTCGAACCCGTGACCTCCTGATCACATGACGGCAACTTTACCAGTTACGCCAAGGCTCCCCTTCACATTTCATAGGACAATAAATGAAAAAAATTACAAAGCAAGGTACATACATCTATCATATGGGGACCTCATTGTAACTTCTTATCTTCTACACACTGGCTAATAATATACATGACAGTATTACATAATAGCCAAGGAATAATCTCAGTCCTTAAACCTAAAAGGCCAGATGAATTTGTGGGGATTTAAAATGTGTTGCTCATTGTTCTCTGTATCTTCTACACACTGGCTATAATATACATGACAGAGTTACAAACAGCCAAGGGATCTCAGTCCTTAGACCTAAAACAACTGCTAAACTTGTGGGACTTAAACTGTGTTAAATCCACCTAGTTAGAATTGTAAGAACAGAAGCAAGCTAGACGAAACCCAGTATTGTCGACATGCCAACATAAATACATTTGAGAAAGCAAATCTTGATTGGTTTCTGGAAAGAACGCTGATCGTGCAGTCTACAAATGACTAAGCTCTTTCTTTGCAGCACTCTTAATTTGGTTGACATAAGGAGTGCACATCCACCTTTTTTGGATGATGAAGTTAGACGTTAAGAGGACCAGCGGCAGAGAAATCTGCTTTCTGGATCCTGCTTCCTTGATTGGAAACATTGCAGTACAATAAATACACCATCCTTACATCCATTTGCTTGAAACCTCAACCAAATTTCCCCACTTAAACTGTCCATTTTTCTCCTTATATGTATTGGTAAAATTTTTCACAATCAATAGCTTCTGGTCTCGCTCAGTGGATCGTAGTCATAGGCATCACCAGCCTTCACAAACCGGCCCTTCACACGCCTTCTCACATCTGCTCTTGCCTTGCGAGAAGCATATCTTACTCGCTTATCAAATCTGTAATAAGGAAGTTATAAAAAAAGGTGAAAAGAGAACAAGTGAAAAGCCTACAACCCAAACAAATCATATTGAACCATGGTCTACATAACCTACACTGCCAAGACATTTCAATGGTGGGGCAGTGTTTATTGCGATTTTAGTGTTGGATAGAAGGAATTGAAATAAAATGAGGAAAAATTGAGGATGAATAATATGCCAAAAGAAATTCTGGTGCTTTATGTCAAACCAGGGAGTGCACAATTACCAAAATAGACTTTTGATGTACTTATTAAAAGAAAACTTACTGGCGTGTCTTCTTCTTTTCCTTGTAGCGTAAAACAGCATCGCTCCGACTAGTTGATGGCATTGAACTTTCAGGACATGGAGAACACCAAGGTGGCTCTCCCATGAGAAGCATTGAGGAGGCTCCATAGTCTTGATAATCTCCGGCGCTGCTCTCTCCAGTGAGGTTTGAAACTGAGAGGTTGGACTGTTGCCTTGCAAAGCAAAGGGTAGGTTCTGTCTTGCAGCTCATCGTGGATTCTGCGGACGCTGCATTGCTACAAGCTGGCTGCACTGTATTTACCCTTCCCAGTGCTGACCCCTGGTAAATAAAGATATATGTAAGTTCATCCATTTTTTGAAACAATTATGTAGAAAAAAATCATAAGAGTCGCATGTGCACATCTTTTTAGTCTGTTCAACCTCCAATCATGAAGTCGGAACTATTATAATCATTGCAAGCAGACAATCTTATTAAACATCATATTTGATGTAATTGATTTGATAAATACCAAAGACTCAAAGTTGATCAATTTATGATATTCCTACGCATATGAATCCTCTCAATGCACCCTTAGGAAATAGTGAATCTCACTGTTTCGTGACAAGTTAGCTTCCAACCTCTACCCACCCCACCCCAGTCAGTATATATTTTTATATATACATGCAAACAAACACACACACATATACATATAGACGCGCTTATGTATAAACAGGGATATAAACAAGGATCACAGCGTACAAGTTATAAGATGATCTCAAAATATTTATACAAGTCTGTCCTATCGACTCTTATCCATGATAAAGTCCAGTTTGGGAGGGGGTGGAATGCAGAGGCAAAAGTTCTACAAAAAATTATAGGAGTTTGTCGTTGCGTACAAAATCTACTATCCAAGACCAATTACAACGTCCAGAAATTAACTTTACAAAACATGTTAAATTAGGCCCAAATCTAGAGAAGAGGGCATGCTTCACAAAAATACCATAGAAGAACATTATATTCATTTAATGAGCATCTTTGCCTTATCAAAAAAATAAAATAAAAACATGCTTCAACAATTAAAAATTTTAATACACTATCTTGTTCATAACAAAAGAGAAACCAAACATCAAGAACAGACAAATTTACTTGTACTTGGTAAAGCTAACAGTAAATGATTGCCTACCTCACTCAAAAAACTAATAATATAGTTCCGTAATAAGTCTATTTTAGTGTTAATGAGTACAGAGAAAGTAGATAATGTTTACACAATGCAGTAATTCTATAAAGTATGAACCACCTCGACAGCAGTGTCACCCTGGCAACTGGACTCAGCAACTGCCATATCCTTCATCCCAAATAAGCCATCAATGTCTTCATTCTTAAACAGCTGATCAGGATTATCAAGAGAAACACCAAATAGCTCTTCATAGGTTTCAATACTCAAGTCCACTTCATCCATATTGAAATCATCATAAAAACGATCATCATCAAATATATTTGAGCCTTTTGTTGCAGAATTGCTCACCTGAACGTATACAAAGAATATGAGCTAAAGAAAGTAAGGAAAATAGAAACAGTCCAGCTTCGAGTAGAGAAAAGACATCTTTATGGTCTTGAGAAGAAGTCAATCACTATAAGCCCCCCCCCCCCCCCCCCCC